AGCTGGGGATTCTGGGTAGTGTAGTGTCTTCTGCCATCCTTTACTCCGAAAAAATATTTGTTTCTCCGAATCGAAGGGGAAAAATACAAAAGCATTGCACACAATTTAAACCAATCAATGTTGTGTAATTAACAAGGATAATCTGGTGTTTTTTAGTCGATGAGTAGTGCAGATATCACTGTAAAATCAATCGACAGTAAGAGGAATACTTACTTCCGGGTGTACAATTCTCCGTTATCCAATGAGAATGGACGCTCACATTGCCTTTAAGGGCAGCCGACACAAACGAATGCCGTGCTTCCATGAGCGTCAAATCCTGCCGCAGATGGGAATACATTGCAATCAGTTGAAAGCTATTTGCGTCCCTTTATGACGCTGAAGGAGTCTAGGAGCGTCACAGATGCACGCCACGGACACTGACCAAACGTCGCTCCTGGACGATTATAGAGTGAGAGTGTGTTGGTCTTTGTGTATTGCAACCAGCTGCAATGGTTCATGGATCCACCAGGGAGAGCCGTGATGGATGCTGCCACAATGAAACTCATATGAAATAAACAGCTTATTCCTCACACACACAGAAGCCTGTTGTTTCTATGCATAACATAGTGAGAAACATGCCTCTGGTTAATTATTATATAACTTGTTTTCTCCATAAAAGCTGGTGGGTTGAAAAAGCAATACGGGAGGTTAACATAATTATATTGTAGAATACAGAAGAATCGTGATGCCGTGGCTTTATCTGAAAACTGACAGTATACTTACATTTATGGCCCGGGACACACATATTTATTTAGATATGTTTTTAACAAGTTTAAATAAAAGGCTGGAGTGTTTCTTGCTCTGCCAGGTACAACAAGTGCGATTTATCTTTTATTACTATACTGTAGCATTTCATTTTTTATTCCCACTGTCACGGATAATCATATTCTGCATTGACAAGAATATTTACTATAATATGATATTATTGTTAATAGTTTACTGTATTATTACTGCTATAACAATCACACATTGAGTTCATTGTTGTGCAATGATCAAATTAAACCGTTGTATTTTTAAATAATCGAATGAAACTCCGCAGCTCTCACTCAGTAGGTGATCAGCTGATCAGCGGGGGCTGTGTGTGACTCTCTTTGTTTACATACCTAATGCCCACTCAGCCACAGCTCTCCCCCTTCCTGTGATCACCCAACCCCCCTGTGATCTCTCTTCTCCAGCAATCTGTAGGTTTGTGTTCGCATATTTCTGCTGTCACAGTTCCTGTTGTTTCTATTGCGCATTGCCGGTATGAAAGGGTATGTGCCTGAAATATTAAACATTTAATAAAAGTGAAAAACAATGAACAAGACTAAACGTATTAATAATAATTAATTATATTTATTCCGTTTGGATGTACGATAATTGACTTTGTTTAGAGCAGTGATCTTCTCTTCCTCTCTGCAGCAGAGAGCTAAGCGCTGTCAGACCGGACCTAACCCTAACCCTGAAAAGTATCATCATCTGAAAGTAAAATGAATCATTATGTTATTAGTATTAAATACATATAAGTATTTGTACAACTTGTATCTAGAAATACTCCGTTGTAATTATTGATGCATAAATGTGTTCATCCATTCAATGTGGCATCTGCTATAATGGGGTTAATGTATGATATTACTTAATAATACAATACATTATAATACATGATATGATAATTATATTTTAGTTTTATTCATTTCTTATTTCATAGTTTGTCATTATTATTATTTTTATCGCTCATCTTATTTTTGATTTTATTAATCTGTGTGAATCTGTGCTGTCCTGTTTTTCACTCTCACCCTGTTGCTGTTTGAACTACTGAATTTCCCCACGGGATTAATAAAGGTCCATCTTATCTTATTTTAATGTATAAGTTGATTTACTTAAATCTATTGTACTGTGTAAAAACACCCCAACAATATTACAAAGAATATACTGCATATTAAAGCAAACTATTGTAAAGAATCAGTAATCTACTTATTTATTTATGAGCGACTAAAAGGCCTTAGGCCTATTACAGACGTATCCTATTGATTGATTGAAGGGTAAAAGTATGAGCATCAAAAATAAAGAAGTGTAAACATTTACATTATAATGATTATTTAATATATAAAGACTATATATTATTGAATTACAATTAAGATAATACGATTAGATATAATTTATTTGATCTAAAATATTGATGTGTTTTCGTTATAGTAGCTTGTGAAAACCATAACAAATAAGTGATTACATGCTACAGTATTCAGCAAACACAACTGCAGAGCTGCAACATTGCAAACAGACTAAGTTGTACGACACCCAGTTGTCTTTGTGTATTTTGTGAAGGAAGTGCCATCTCATGGTTAAATCCTGTAATTGAACAAATGGGGAAATTTGGCAACGCCCTCTAGCAATTTGGCAACGCTGGGATCCGCTGGGTTTTTGGTTGGAATCCGCACATTGAGTCCGATCTGGAATACTACATCTGTAAGACTATTAAACACCTGAACTTTTGAAACAACATCCATAACATTAATCTGGCTGCAATTTAGAAATTATTGATCTAATATATCATATTCCAATCACTTGTATATAGACTCTTATTGCACTATTTCACATTTTTACTATTTTTCTTTTTGTATTTACTTGCACTGTTTTATTCTGTTATTCTATTCACTGTTGGAGGAGCCTGTGACCTAAGATTTTCATCATCATAACTACACTGTAGCTATGTACGTATGACCAATAAAAGCCTTGAACCTTGAACTGAAAATACTAGGGAAATGTTTACTCTTCCACACTTGCCCCTGCTAACATCTCAGTAAATGAGCTAGTAGATAATATTAATAAAAAAATTAAAAATGTTATAGATGCCATTGCTCCAACTAAGGTAAAGGAAGTGTCTGGGAAGAAAATATCTCCATGGAGAAAGGCCATGACCGTGAGAGCAGAAAAAAGAGAATGTCGAAAAGCTGAACGCAGGTGGCGAAAAAAAAATCTCCAGGTTCATTTTGAAATCTATAAAGAGAGACTTGGCCTTTATAATTTGGAATTGAAAAACGCACGACAATCGTTCTTCTCTGACATCATTACCAAAAACAAAAACAATGCATGTGCCTTGTTTGCTACCGTCGACAGACTAACTAACCCCCCAGTGTCAGTAGCCTCTGAATTTCTATCCACCAGGGCGTGCAATGATTTTGCCTCCTTTTTCACTGACAAAATTCAGAAAATCAGACAAGCAGTCAGTGCCTCTGCATCAGGAACAGCAAATGTGTTGTCCCTATCTCCACTTAACATCAATTCAGACATCATGAAACAATTCCATCAGATTAATGATAAAAACCTAGAGGACATTATACAACTTCTGAAATCCTCCTCTTGCTGCCTTGATATTATTCCAACAGGATTTTTCAAAGATGTTTTGCCTTGCATGGCCTCAGATCTACTTCATATAGTAAACAAATCTCTTCACTCAGGTAATTTTCCACAGGCCCTGAAAACTGCAGTCATTAAACCGCTCTTAAAAAAGAATAATCTAGATGCTTCAGTAATGAACAATTACAGGCCCATATCAAACCTGCCATTTCTAGGTAAAATCATTGAAAAAGTTGTTTTTCAACAGTTGAGTAATTTCTTGCATTTAAATAACTATTTTGATGTGTTCCAGTCAGGCTTTCGTCCAAACCACAGCACTGAGACTGCTCTTGTAAAGGTCTTTAATGACATCCACTTAAACACAGACAGTGGCAGAACTTCAGTGTTAGTATTATTAGATCTCAGTGCTGCGTTTGACACTGTTGACCACAGCATATTACTAGACCGACTGGAAAACTGGGTGGGACTTTCGGAAACAGTTCTGAATTGGTTTGAATCCTACTTAAAGGACAGAAACAACTTTGTTTCTATAGGTAAATACACATCTGAGTTGACAAATATGACATGTGGGGTTCCTCAAGGCTCCATCTTGGGGCCTCTTCTCTTTAACATCTACATGCTACAACAGGCTCAGATAATGAAGAACAACAAAATAAGTTACCATAGCTATGCAGATGACACACACATTTACGTAACAATTTCACCAGGAGACTATGCTCCAATTCAAACACTGAGTAAGTGCATTGAACAAATCAATGACTGGATGTGTCAGAACTTTCTCCAATTAAACAAAGATAAAACTGAGGTAATGGTTTTTGGTGCCAAATCAGAACGTATAAAAGTTAGCGCTGAGCTTCAGTGTGCAATGTTCAAAACAACAGATAAAGCCAGAAATCTAGGTGTAGTCATGGACTCTGTCACATTAAACAGTCACATTAAAGTAACAGTCACATTAAAACTGTTACTAAATCAGCCTTCTATCACCTAAAGAATATATCTAGGATTAAAAGACTAATGTCACAGCAGGATTTGGAAAAACTTGTCCATGCTTTTATCTTCAGTAGACTCGACTACTGCAATGGTGTCTTCACAGGTCTCACTAAAAAATCTATTAGGAAGCTGCAGCTGATTCAGAACGCCGCTGCTCGAGTCCTCACTAACACTAAGAAAGTGGATCACATCACTCCTATTCTGAAGTCTTTACACTGGCTTCCTGTCCCCAGAGTCAGAACTAAACATGGTAAAGCAGCGTTCAGTTATTATGCTCCAAATATCTGGAACAAACTCCCAGAAACCTGCAGGTCCGCTGCAACTCTGACTACTTTTAAATCCAGGCTGAAGACTTTTCTTTTTGTCGCTGCTTTTAATTGAACTATTCATATCTTATACTGCACTGTAACTTTGTTCCATGTATTTTTTCTTTTAATGTTTATTTTATTAGCTTTTCTTTTTAATGATTGTTTTTGAATGCAATTTTCTGAATGTCTTTCATTTTTGTAAAGCACTTTGATTTGCCTTGTGTTGAAAGGTGCTATATAAATCAACTTGCCTTGCATTGCCTTGCCTCACTAGTTAACTTCTAAACGTTAAAGTGTTGTATGAACTGTTTCTGTTTCCTCTGCCAGCTGCTGCACTTCATTGAGGTGCACGGTGAGGACAGCTTTGGACCTGCCTCCCTGGCTGTGGCTCAGGCCTTGGAGAGGACCAGGGCCAACATCAAGTGGGTCCAGCAGAACCAGCAGGAGGTCCTGGACTGGTTCAGAACTCACACTGCACATCACACATAGCCAGAGTAACAGCTGCTGCAGGGACTCCTCTCCCCTATGAGGAGAGTTTTTATGTTATTGTCCTGGACAGAAAGACATATAGATGCGAAGGACATTTAACTACTGATTAAGGCTTTTGATGGAAAATAGTTTAGAATAATTATTTTGGAACTAATTGAAAATTCATGTTTTGTTTTTTTTAACCACTTTTGCGATGCTATGTTGAAATGTAGTCATTAAAATGTGATGGTAAGAATGGTTATAATGTGACTAAAACACGATTTAGCCCAGTTTTAACTGTAGACAGACATATGTTCAACTGCATATAACCAAAATATATCCCGGAGTGCATTCTATACGTTTCCTTTCAACAACCATGATTGTTTTTGATTAAAATGCAATAAAATGCATCCCGATGTTAGTCCCCTACTGTGATAAATGCCAAATTAATGAAGCCTCTCTCATTCATATGTACTGGTCCTGTCCCCGCCTAAGCATGTAATGGACGGAGATTTTCCAAACTCTATCCCAAGTGTTCAGTATTGAACTGGATCCAAATCCTCTGGCTGCCCTATTTGGGGTAATAGGAAAGGAGATGCGTTTAACTGCAGAATGACAGAAATCTCTGTCTTTTGCTCTCCTCTTAGCTCGTCGAGCCATCCTGCTTAGATGGATAGACAGTTTCTCACCCACTCATCTACAGTGGTGGAACAATGTTATGTCCTGTATGAAACTTGAACAGATCAGATACTCACTTCTATACTTGCTTGCAGGTCTCCCTTGAAAAAGAGATCTATGATCTCAAGGGACAATCTGTATAAATAAAGGTTTGAAATGAAATGAAATATACTCAAACAGCAAATTTCAGGAAGCCTTGGGACCTTTTATAAATGCATTCCAAACTCTGTAAATCATTCTGTTATGGGTTTAGCTTAAGTGCAGCATATGTATGTATGTATGTATATAGCCTATGTGTATGTATACAGCAAATGTGTATGTGTAGTTTGCATTTGTGTATTTGCATGTGTGTATATGCATTTGTTTTACATGCATACAGTATATACTCATCCAACAATATGTCTGGCATATATTTGTGTTTATAAGGATCACTGGCAGTGATAGGGGATTACTTTAGTCGTTGTTATTGTTTGTCTGTGTTTTTCTTGTTTTGTTTTTTATTTTTCCTTTTGTACATACAATCAGCACAGACCAATCGCTCATTCGCATTGGCATATATTATGTTTACCATTACTATGACAAACACTGCTTATTGATTGTCGAAACTAAATAAAAAGATTTTTGATTTGAAAATGCAATAAATTACTGATTGCAATATACTTTTTGTAATATTATAGTATATTATATCTAGAAAATATGTGACAGCAATTTGGGTAAGAACTTTTAAACTTATTTATTTAGCTTTTAACTTAATTTAGTAACTTTAACTGTAACATTATACTCTCTAAAGTACAATACTGAGAACTTGAAATGTGGAGACATGGGAACAAAAAAGTCCAAAAATACATTTTGTGTGGCCATATTTATTTACCATTAAATAAAGTAAGGACTGAAGAGACCGTTTTCTGGAGTCTGTATTATACAATATAATGTTCACCCAAAGTAGACGTCATAATAGGGAGCCCTCAGGGGACATGGACAGAACACTTTCACTTTCATTATTCATAATAATAATAGATTACATTTGTATTATGCTCACGAGAAAGTTACCAGTGTGCAAAGGAGACACCAGAGGCCTATACAGTTTAAACTGCCGTTGCAGTTCAAATCACCGACTGTGAACGTGAAAATGAATAGAATATCACCTCCCATCTTCAGAGCAATCTGACTATTATAACATTAGCGTTAAGAAAGCTTACGTAAATATCTGCCACAACATAAGTAACCGGATCAGAGTAACATTACGTAGCCTACAGTCCGCGGCACTGTGAGTGCAGACGTCAATGTGTCCCATTATCTTTTATTTCACATCATAATGTATCATATATCTCCTTATCTGAGTCAGCTGAGCCGTATCTGGCCGTGCAACACTCACAGTGTCACATAATGTATGCAGAAGTATTATTTTAAGCAACACATTAAGTTGACGAAACACTCCAGACAAATGTAATGAAAGTCAGATCGTGTTTTAGACGGGGCAGTGATATCATAAACCTGTTAATGTACGCATTCAAACACTTGTCCTGTTACCAGCTGTATTCACCTTGCAGGTGCAGCTATGTGGCTTTGATCCTGGATAAAGTGTTTAAGTCATGGATGTTTAAAGTTTAACTTCTTCATATTTGACTAATATTATAGTTGACTTTTCATTCAGAAAGTATGACGCTGCGCTGTCAGTACGCTTGTCCATTGACACCAGAGGCCTATACAGTTTAAACTGCCGTTGCAGTTCAAATCACCGTCTGTGTGAACGTGAACATTAATAGAATATCACCTCCCATCTACAGAGCAATCTGACTATTATAACATCAGCGTTAAGAAAGCTTACTTAAATATCTGCCACAACATAAGTAACCGGATCAGAGTAACAGTACAGTCCGCTAGGGGTGTAACGGTTCACAGAAGTCACGGTTCGGTTCGTACCTCGGTTTGGGGGTCACGGTTCGGTACGGTTCACTCAACCCTGGCCCAGGTGGATTGACCTGAGGGGGGGGTTGAAAGTGAACCTGGGGGGGTTGGAAGCGACCCTGCATTCCATACTGAAGACCATAAGCTGATGGCAGAGAGGAGCTACGCCCTCTAGTACCCCCTGGAAGACCCTCCCTTGCCCACCTAATAGCCTCGCCACAAAGTTTTAATTCAATTTAATTTCAAACCTTTATTTAACCAGATTGGTCCCATTGAGATCATAGATCTCTTTTTCAAGGGAGACCTGCAGCATATAGGTTCCACATGAAACATAAAACAATAAAGGACATTATACATTATATTTACAGGATACATTTACATAGTTATAGACATTTACAAGTAGCCATAGTATCAACAAGCATTTCATTTAGCCTAGCTTTAAAAACATGCAAAGGAATGAGATTGCTCAGTTTCAATTCTTGCTGAAGACTGTTCCAAGCAAATGGAGGGGGGGAATGATGACCAGAGGTGGGGAGAGTGGTTACGGCGTCCCAACTTTTACAGCTAGGCGCTGCCACAGAGCCCACCAGGAAGGGAGAATGTTTACGGCACCCCTGGAAAGAGGTTTAAAATGACTGGTGAATAGCCTACTTAAAGGGAAATGGAAACACTTTTCAAACTGCTTTCCATGCGACAATATTCCCATTAGGAAATGTATTTATCTAGTCTATTTCCAATGTAAACGATCGAGATACGCGAATTTATTTTTTGAAATACGTGCCTAATGACCATGGGCGCTTCCATTGCTCCGGGACTTTCCCAGTGACGTCACTGAGTGGGTACGGCTTCCTGGGCCAAAGCTCAATAACAAACAACATGGCGGGCAATGCACCAGTAGTTTACATTACAAGAAAACGGTCGTCGTCAGGAGTTTATTGTATTGCCCCAGGCTGCACAAATGGATTTTATACGAAGAAGGATGAAGTACATTTCCATAGGCTGCCACTAACGGATGAGAAGCTGCTCAAAGCATGGGTTATTTCCATGAAACGGTCCGATCCGCCGCTGAATCAGTACGCACGTGTGTGCAGCGAACACTTTAAAAATGACGATTATGTCCACAAAATGAGGTTTGATGAGTCTGGATGCCTGGTTCAATACAAAACATCGGATTTGAAACCAGGATCTGTTCCCACAATATTCGATTTCTCAACGTATGCAGTCGGGAACACCGACCGTCCCAGCACGTCGGCCGCGCAAGACAATGTCAGTGTCAACAAACGTGAAGTTCGAGCCACCAAACGAGTTGCTTCAGCTGCCGAGAGAGAGGTAAATATTGCAGCACTACCAGATTACTAGCTCACACATGTATTTACTGACACAGTGTGACCTTATTAATTAACGCAATAGCGTCCAAACTAAATGGTAGCTATTATTATGATGTACAATGGAGAATTGGGGGTGTTCTATAGCTCAACTAATTAAACTGGCATACACACGCTCATCTGTCGAAAACAGCCCTAAAAAGAATAGTATTGCTGGACTAGGTGTTCAATGGATGGTATTGCCAAGATGTATGAGGTGTTGGAAAATAATACAAAATATATGTCAACTGACCACTGGTACATGTGGTAGCCTGGTAGGAGTATACTTCATCAAAAATGACTGCCCATCGTTAGCCCTGCTTGAGTGCTTAATAATAACACAATCCTTTATAAATAATATATTTTGCTCTGAGTAATAACAGTTTGAGAGTTTGCTTAAATAGTCTTCAAAAACAAATATTTTCCTATTTTTTTTCCAACGGCCGAGATACACATAGGTCTACATAATTATAGGGCATCTCCATGGAGCTCAGGCTGATTGTTTGCTCTCTGATGGGCTGTGGTGGCTCGATTACGTTCTTTTAATTCTTAGGTTTCTATGAACAGTTTCTTTATTTTACCATTATGGAATAATCACATTGGTAAATAGTGGCGTTGGGGTTTTTCCGGCCAACTTATCATAGTCATGATTTTGAATATTTCTAGTTCACCTTAACCTGTAACATATTTATATTGTTTTGTTTCAGGTCAAACGAGCTGTCCATACTGCTGCAGGATTGTTGTCCTGTCAGACAGAAGATACATCCTGCATAGGTGCTGATGATGCAAGTGATGATTCCCAGGTACTGGAGGCACACACAACTAAACGTGGGCAGTCAGTGACTGTGGCCACACAGACGGAACCACTGGAACCATGCCCGTGTAAAACTGTGACTTTGGTGAGTGTACAGACTGGGACCGATGACATCAACAACGGTCAGTTGCTCAGTCATGATCATCCATATTGCGTCAGCAGGGACATTGCTGGTGGATCCGCCACACTGGCACCTGCAGATGCAATGGCCAAAGTACCACCGAGTCCAACACCTGATGTGTCAATGCCTGAAGAAGATGC